ATCATTTTTGTGTCCCTCTTCTGGACCCGCTCCAACAGGTCTGTGTCTGTCTTATGCTGAGGGCTCCAGAGCTGGACACAGTACTCCAGGTGGGGGCTCACCAGAGTGGAGTAGAGGGGCAAAATCACCTCCTTCGACCTGCTGGCCACCAAGATGATCTTGGTTTTAGAGTTATGGACTTGGGTCCTCATACAGTGAGGGAAAAACGGCATTCTTCTCTTGTGGTTTTAGAGAGGGTCTGACAGTAAGAAATAGGGCATTTCTTATTTATGTTGGAAATATCTTTTATAAGATTAATAACAGTTTGAATGGTGAAAACACTGTGGAGGCAAACCTGATGTCTCGAGAGAAAGATTTTATCTGAGAGGTTTGAGAGTTTAGAGGCTTTTCTGACTATTAAAATGTATCTTTGAAAATTAACTTTCACAATATCCATTAAAGGAGTTAGTATTAACAATACTTGTCCTCCAGAACTCGCTCATAAAACTGCCAGCAGGTCAGTCCAAATTTGATTTGTTTTTTTTTTAATTGATTTTTAAGACTTAAGCAAAAAACTTTTTTTTTTTTTTTAAGAAGTAACTTAAAATCCAGCAGTCCCTATTTTCTTCTTCCCCTCTCTTCTCACTCTTCCCATTCTTGACTGGAGGAAGAAATACTTGAAGAAAAAAATGGTGTTAAGTCTGTTATTATGTGACATGGAAAAAAAATTAGCTGAGCACTTCATCAGAGAAGTGTATTAATACAATAAAATTCACTCCTTGCTCTGGCATTTGCCATGAACTGACATTGTGAGCACACGTATCCAGCATTCTAGTCCCTAAAATAAAATCATAAATAGTGAAAGAACTTCATCAGATATGAAGTCATAGTGGATATAAAATGGAAACTGTGAACCTTGCTAATTAATGGAGATGCTGAACATTTTAACTCATTAAATCCGGTATACTTCCTTTGGTCACTTCCATTAGCTGAAACGTCAAAGATGAGGAACAGATGAGGAACTTGTGTATTATCTCTGACTTGCTATGAAGATACTAATTATTTCGGTGAAGTCAATCTTCCTCAGATACTATGTTTGCATAACTCTGCATGTTACTGCCCTTGTAACTATCCCCAAACATGTTCAATTCTGTCCCAGACCTGTACTTGCAAGTTACATGGGACCACAGCAATGGTAAGAAGAGAAGTCTTTTGTCTTAATCAACAAATAGAATGTGCAGCTTATTTGTGCAAAATAGTGACTTTTGACATCTTAGATATTACTGCATTTTAGCGAGTTTTCCTTCATTCTCTAGCTAAAGTTGAAACAAACCTTAGGGTTTTACACATTTGTGGTGACGGTAGACGGGTGCAGTTCATCACTTCATGATTTAAGTCACGATTTATATAAAAAGGGCACTGAAACGCAGTCTGTCTTACTGCATTAAACAAAGCGCTTGAGCTGGGTAAACTTTACCTCTTGCCTCACTCCCCCAGTGCTATACATGCTCATTTGTATGGAATTTGCATTTTGTTTGGTTTAGTCTATTGATGTGTCACGGTACGTGGCTTTTTGAGTATGCTTTTTGTCAAGTAGACAGAAGTACAATTCTAAAACGGCATAGTTTATCATGTGACTCAAGTGTTGAAATCAACACCAGAAATAAAACCAAACCAAAACAAACCTTCTTAAATGGCAATTTTTTTTCTCTCTGTTGCCTCTATGAAGAAGAATTCTGCTGAAGGAAACACTATGTTTGTTTGTAATGAAAGAAAAGGCTCAGAAGAACAAGTGGACACACATCTTCAATGGCAGCTAAATCTCCTTACCCATATAGAGAATGTACAGAATGAAGTCACCAGCAGAATGGACCTGATTGAAAAAGAAGTTGATGGTAACTGCATTGCCAGATACTTGTTAATATGCGTGTAACAGCATCTTTTATAGCTACTGTGTTGAAGGTGATCTGAGGCACTGAGGATGGATTTTTAAGAATTGTATTCAAATTTGGGTACCCAATATCATAACCGGAGCTTGTACCCTTGATCCCTCCACGCCATTCCACAAATTTTGAATGCCCAATAAAGTAGCTTAAGCACTTGGGACCCCTGAAAATTTAGCTAAAGTTTGTGATATTAGACAGACTTCAGAAAGCTTAGATAACTTGTCTTTGTCCAGATATGGATCATAAAGCTGATGGATTTTTCTATGCCTGCAGTGTTTCTGGCCTGATTGTTCTAGTATTTGACAATATTTTTTGGGGGGAGGGGGGAAGTATTCATTCTGCCTTCAACTTTGGTTTGCTATATATTAGTAAATACCTGGTTTCAGGAAGACAAATCAGGCTTCATGAGAATGTGAATGAGATTATAGTGTAGGAGTAAATATTACACCACATAAGTTTACATGCCAGTCATAGAAATTAAGAATGAGGGGAGCTTATAGTCTAGTCATAGGAGTCCTTAATTATTTTTTGACAAATAAAGTTGTCTTATTCCTATGTGCAGTTTTACTTTCAATATTTCTGCTTGTACTAGGTGGTATTTCTAGGCTAACAGGGTTGACCTTTTCCCTTCTCTGTCTCTACAAGCATAGAAATTCCTTGAAAACATTTGTTGAAGATTGGAAAACTGTTCCAATCTGGACCTTATAAACAGGAGCTTGTTAAAGTGACAGAAGCAAGCCTTGCATTTAGGGATTGCATTTTCTGTTGCAGAACTGTCATAGCTAGAAGATCATGAACTGAGGTTTCTTTTATGTGTGTAGATGGTAAATTGTTAGCCAAAGGTATAATTTGGTCCCAGGTACCTTTTTATAGTAACGATCAAATCAGAAGTTCTGTTTGGATTGTTTGAGTGAAACACTGAATTAGTTGGTGTTTCTCTAATAAAAATTTCTTCTGTTAAATAAAAATCACAGCCTCGGTATATTTTCCCTTCTTATAAAAGACAGAGAGGAAGAAAGAAAAGTTTAATTTTTATGAAAACTGTTTCTCGAAGACTTATTCTAATCGACTTCTTCCTTTTCCCTCTGCAGTTTTAGAAAGCTGGCTTGATTTCACTGGAGAACTGGAACCACCAGATCCTCTGGCAAGATTGCCTCAGCTCAAGCGACGTATCAAACAGCTCTTAATTGACATGGGGAAAGTACAGCAAATAGCAACGCTTTGCTCTGTATGACAAAAGGAAGAATAAAGAAATAAAAATAGGTTCTTTACAGTGAATTTTCTTACTAGCCACAAGACTGACAGGAAGGCAGCAAAAAGCTGAGCATTTATCTGGTTCTTTGCTGATTACGTTAATAGCCTGAAGCTTGAGAGAGGAGAGGAAATTTAGAGTAAGGAATCTGTTATACTGAAAATCTGAATATTCAGTGTCCAAGCTTCAAAATGTAATATATTACATAGTGAGAAATGTTGATATGATTTTAACGTGATAAACAAGAAAATCCCCGCATACAAGAAAGTTGAACAAACAAAAACTCTGTGAAGAACAGTGCTACTGTTTTGAAACCTTTGGCAAAAAAATCTAAATTAGCAGAATTCAGCTGACTAAAAATTCTTGGGAACTGCTTTTTTAATGAATTCCTCTTATCTTGCTAGTGAAAGATAGACACAGAGAGATCTGTATCCTCTCTACAAGGAAAGTTTTTTAGATTATTTCCTTCTCATGAATGTTCAGCAAAATGAACATACTAGCTTTGATTTTTGAAAGAAATTACTTATCATGGACTCCTTTTTTAAAGTATTTTTTTAAATAGAAATGGTTATTACAGCACCCTTAGGCTCCTTTAAAACATAAGTGGCAAATAGTGGTCAGATGTGCCAAATAATATTAAAACCACTGGCATGAGAGTTTGCTTATGACTTACATGAGGTTTTTTCCAAATCCTACTCGGTGCCAGCAATCCATCCAAAATTGTATCTAGTTTATATTTTTTTATGTTCTATTGCAGTATTCAGGATTCAAGCTGTAATTTTTGTCCTGGGTAGCTCTGTTCTGGTGTTGGCCCTCTGAAATTTTACCATCCTCAGCTGGGATGAGGAATGACAAGAGCAGCAAAACCGTCTGTGGCTGTGAATATGCTAAACCACTAGAATAAATATCACAAGATACCTTATCCAAGATGTTTTTATAGAATCTTTCAGCTTCAGTCAATGAAACGTCATGAAACCAAAGGCAACCTACTTGCTCTGTTAGCTCTTGCTGGATTTTGAGCCCAGGACTTCCCTGTGCTTATAAGTTGCCACTGTACCCAGTGCTACATACGTATTTGTATGTGTATGTATATGTGTATAGATACACATGTACATATATACATACTATATACATTTATATCTACACATGTCTAGTTTTATTACAATAGACTGTAAGAACTGGTGGTTAACATGAAATGTTACCTTTTAACAAGCAGTTTCTAAAATTGAAAATAATGTATGTACAGGTTTTGAAATTTGTAAAATATGACTGTTAAGAGGAGGCTATTTAACTGATGACATTAAGATACTTGAACATTTTATGCCTCACGTCTGTTTATCAGTTCTAGTTATCTGTATAAATGCATTTTAGAACCGATAGACAGTAAACTTGAATTTACCTTTTGATAAGAGTACAAGCCACTGTACATTCAAAAATTATTTAAATTTGCAAACACACTGTTCTATATGTAAGGTACTGTATGTAAAACTGTTTATTAAAACTATTCTGCATACTCTACATTTTCCACTTTTCTTCCTGATCTACATACAAATGTAAAAAAGTGATTGTTATGATGTACAGACCATCAAAAAATCAAAAAATCTTCGAATGCCTTTTGAGGATGCATAAAATTGAAAAATGTGCCAAAGATGGATTATCTGGGAAAGACTTTGCAACCAGTGCATTGAACTTTCGTGACAAAACCATTCTTGAGAAAGAAAGCAGCATGGCTGGTTCATTGCTAAAATAAACCTACCCGTCTGTCTATCATGTCTGAAGTGACTTATCACTCTTGATGTCCAAAGCAAAATGTAAACTCCTGTTACAGAGTGGTTGTTATTTAAAAAGTCTTGCCACATCAAGCTTATAGGAGATATTGCAGAGCGGCATGGTAACATGGAAGTTAATTATGGAATCGTGATTGGCAACTTCGTTATGCAGAAAGAACACGAGCTGAGGAGCTGTTGACATTTTTATAGCAACTGTTAATAAATAAAATGCTCTGTGTTAATAGTTGGATGCTTAACTGCTTCAAACAGTATGAATAGTTGAGTGACCTACTTGCTTTTGGATATGTGAGACTTTTTTATATATTATTCACTTGCTGCATATCCTTGAATGTGGTACTGTGTGTACTGTATAAGAGAAGTGTAAATCCAGATGAATTACTTTGAAACAGTGGAGTGTATTTACATAATTTATACAGCATACACTGTAGCAATATTATGCAATGTGTGTGCATGCGTGTGATGTAATATAATTGTAAATGTTACTGAAGGTGGAGGTAGACAGAGATGTTCCAGGTGGGAGGACGGAGGTTTCCTTCTTAGTGCAGAGATGGAGGAGTAGTATCCTGAAAAGGAATCGTAAGGTCAAAGTTAAAGTTGCCCTTGCAGCTTTAACCTGTCTTCTGTTTGTGTATGTAATGCTCTCTAAATTTACATCAGTATGTAATTTTATCCCTCGGGATCCTGCCTTATTCAGGATGGACTGTGCTTACAAAAACATAATCTGTTCAGTATATTTTTATCTTCATTTCTTGTGTAGTCACATATAAAAATTCCTGCAAACATTCACATCTTCTAAGAAGTACAATCTCGGTGTCCTTATGGACAGTGCTGTGATACATTGTGTGTTGCTTGAATGCTTCACAAACTTCTCTGAGTTTGCTTTCTCAAATTGTCGTGTTAGTCTGTAACGTGAACATTAGTTTTGGCCCCAGTTTCTCAAGTATTCAAAGGTTTGGGATGCTTTTGAAGTTTTTTCTTTAAACACTTACAAGTCAAGTGCCATAAAAATGCTAAGTGTTTCGCACAGAATGTAACCTACAGTTGATTGCTTTGCTCGTGTGTCAGTCAAACCCGATGTGATCTGGCTCATACCAGTATTTCTTCTAGTCAGCCTTACTGAGAGAATCTTTTTCCTGTAGGCATCATTTTCTACCTGTCTTCCTGCTTCCCCTGTAAATAAGCCAGGGATCTGCACCCAGTTTATTTGCAACATCATTTATCGGGGCGTGAATTGCAGTTACTTGTGCTGTATGCTGAAGGAGGCAGACCCTCTCTGAGGAAGAAATAGTATATGGCCACGTGAGGACTGGTTTTGATATGTGTGCACAGAAAGGTAAATTTTTTAAATTTGCAGCCTTCTTTTAACTTAAGTTCCTAATAGTAATAAACAAAAGGGAAACACCATGGTACAGAAGCCTTTGACAAACTTGTGGAGCCTTTAAGTGCCCAGCTTTTTGTCAAGAGAGTTGTTTTGTTTTTTTTTTCATGGAGGTATCGGGGTGATTCATTTCAAAGCCGCCTCCTTCCTGTGACCATACCGTAGGCGACTACATCAGGAATTCTGTGTTTTCAGTTGCAGTGGTGGCAGTAGGACATCAGTATTGCAGTCATAAATGAAATGTAGTCTTGGTGATATGATCAGATACCACATGATGGGGCTGCGTGTGTTTCAATTACAAAATGGAGGTACTTCAAATAATATGGCAGGGAATGGGTTGGAAGATGCTTCCTGCTAACCCTTTTCTTGGGTAGCTGTAGGTTGAGTAGCGCCCATATTTTGGATATTCTGGCCTTAGATGCATAGATCTTTGTTCAGCTATGGAGTAATTTACAGTGGTAGAAGCCTGTCGTCCACTTTAAAATAGTCGAAGAAGATGGATTGCAATTTTCTGATTTCACATATTTGCTGGGTGGCAAAGAACAAACTGTTCTTCCATGGGTGCAGTCCTCTTCGATGGCTGACATCCACCTGTCTCTCTTAATTTTGTCTCTAAGCTTCTACGTGTGCTCCTCATCTGTTCTGCAGCTTGCATCTGTTTCTCCTTTTGTTCTTCAGCTTTCTCCACTCTGTCGTCTTCTGTGATGCCCAGAGGGTTTCACTCTGTTCTTGTGCCCAGTTCTTCCTGGCTGCTGTGGGAAGCAGTCGTAGGGAAAGGTCTCCTCTGCTCTTCTGTCCTCAGCCTCCGGTGTGTCCTATGAGGTGTGTACCATGATCAAAATCTTCAGATGTGTTTGCTGCATTCCTTTAGTAAGCCTCTTCTGATCTTGTGCAAGTGGTGATCTCCCTCTACTCCCACCTGGCTTCGAACTTAACTAGGCTTGAATGAATATTACAGCAAAACCCCTCTGGCACTGCTGGGCTCTAGCACTCCTTACCAGACTGAAGGGTGGGATGTAAAGGAGTCGCTCGAACGTCACAGTAAGATCATAAAAGTATTTTGATGCTTCCAAACCAGAGTATTTTTCCTTTGTATTTGAAAGGGAAACTGCAACTATTTTTCTTCACTGAAACTTTAAAAACTACAGATCAGATCCTGAACTGAACTGGAGCTTGATGTAAAAATCAACAACAAAAGTAGGGGGTGGGAAGCACGCTGCAGACGGGGGCTTCGTAACAAGATGTGTGCAATTTGGCCATCTGGACTACCTTGCCCTGTTAGTTATCTGGAGGTGCTGATGTGTAAAGGGAGTGCATTCAATGATGCCATTCATTTGCAAATGTGACCCATCTTTGCCACATCAGTTTAGAACGCTGGAACCGTAGGTCTTCTCTCTGCTGCTTAGAAATTTTACGGTATGTGCACCTCAATTTTGGAGTGCTTATTAAGGTCAGAGGCTTAATCACTTTCGAAATGCCCATTGCTATTCTCACATTTTATTAGCTGACGCTTTGTTTCTGTTGTACTGAGGCCATACGGCTTTAGGTGATCATTTTACAGAGGATGTTTGAAATACTTCAGTAATGGTTTTTATTATACTATTTTAAGTCCTGGGCGCTGGGTGTGGGCGTCTGTCTTTAGCAATAAGTATTATACACTATGTGTATATCTGTTTATATATGGAAAACAAGTATGGAGCATGTAATGATGGTGAAAATACACTGCACAGAGAGCAGATTGTGCATTTGGCAGCCATTCTGCACCAGCGTGAACAATTCAAATAAAAAATTGGAGACCGCATGGGGAAAACGAACTAGCGTGAAAAATCATTCAGGAGTGAATTTCCCTTTCCATACACACTGGGCCTGTGTGTAAGCAGTAGGTGAGCCAGCCTTATTCTACGGATTGAATAACTAAAGCTAGTTCAATTGCTGTTTACTTCGAACCGCAGCCTTCCTTTCTTTAAAACTGGCCAGAGCCGCCTCCGCTCAGCTGTAGCCATGTGCCTCAGTGTATTGTCACTACACACTCTGAGAGACGCAGCAGTGCACTATTATTAAATCTTCTATGAGAGAAGCAGAACACTTTCTTCTGTGATTTGTTTTTTTTATAATAGCAATAATGTTGACTGCATTCTAATACTCACAATAAAGGTCTGTTGAGATTGTTATGTGCCTGGGCTCCTGTTCAGTGGACTTGTGTTTTGGCGAGCTAGTGAGTGCTTGTGTATGTTCTAAAGCATTAGGGAATCTTCAGCTGCAATTTTGGACAGTTTCATTAGTAGCCAATAAGTTCTACGCAGTCATCAATACTCATTTGTTTGTATACATTGCAAAGCTTTAAGGAATCTTCAGTTGTATTTTAGCCTGTAGGCAAATTATGCAGTCAGTAAATTATTTACAGTACTGAATTACTTACTGTGTGGCAAAATAATTAGAAGATTTTTCTGTTCCTGAACTGCTTTGGTGTTTAACAATATCAGGGTTTGAGTTTTGCAATACGCTCGGTTCTTGAAAGACAATGTCTTTCAACAAGGCGTTCACAGTGATGGCATCTCTTCTTGTGGGCAGACGTCTGCCTTCTAAGGGTGTTTCTAGTTTTGCGCCTTCGTACAATGTCATTACAAAATAACTTCAATTTGCTTTTAGTGATTTCTTATATTTTAGCATTGCCTACAAACTGTTGTTCGCTACCTACCACTATTGTGGTAGGAAAGAAATAAGCAAGCAATGATAAGAAAGTTCCTGTCCCAGACGTCCTGTGGACCAGGGTGCAAACGGGAAGCGGCAGGTGGATGGAATCAGACGGAATCTAAATGAGTTACTAACACACAGAATTTTTTCTGTTCTTCACAGCAAAAATAGGTATGATCTTAAACGTGCAAGAAACTTCAAGATTTTAATTCTGAAACAGATATTTTAATCATTATTGAAGGCACAGTCTCAAAGCAGTCTCTCAAATTTAAGACAAAAGGCCAAATTCAGATCTTGGAGTAATACACTGAAATGCTTTTTCTAATTAGCAGACTTCTTAAAGAAGAGGTTTCCTGAGTCAGACCAAACATCTAGCCAGTCCAGCGTCTTATCTTCAGTAGAAATACAATGTCAGCATCTGTAGAAACGTAGACTATAAAAGCTTTGTACGAATTGGTCTTTCTCTTAATGTATCTTTCACTTCTGCTACACTGAAGTTTCCTTTACCAGAATCTTAATGAAGACCATCAGTTTTATCGATCGCTGACAGATCTGTGCTCCATGAGTTTAATCCATCTTTCTTCATTTATTTCTCTCCACAACATCAGGTGGCATACTGAATTCCACAGCTTTGTTGTGTGGCAGAAGGAGTTGTTTCTGTCCTTGAACTTGCTCTCTGACTCCATTGACTGTACGCTGTTGCCGTCAGTTCGGAGAGGGCTAAGTATTGCACTATCAAAAAGACCAAAAGCAGTCTTGTCCTACCAACACCAGCAGTTTGGCACCCTGTTGCTGTCCTTGTGCGACTGGCGGTGCCTTTTCTCACTGCATTAGCTTGCTTTCGTCAAACATTGAGTCAATTCAGCATGCAAATCTATCCATCGCGCCACTGCGGGTTGCAGAACTGACTTCTGCTTGGGGTTTCAACACAATCTGCATCCCAGATATCATGAGAATAAAATAAATATTTTTCTACCTTGCATCACTATGGTACTATTAGATAGAGGAAAACTGTGTTGTGTTATCTCCGATGGATGAGTAAGAAAAAAGCCATTTTACCTGTCCTAGAAATGGTTCATTTCTGCAGGGACAAAGGCAAATTCAGATGTTCTTACATGGGCTACTTCAGGCTCTTTCAAATGTTCTTACATGGGCTACTTCAGGCTCTTTTGTCACCAAAGGCACTTTGCCAGCTGGTAAATTGTAACACAAAAAAGTGAGGAGTCCTCTGTCCACTTTTCTGATCTAGCCAATTTTAGTGTAGAAGTTACTGGAACTTCCCCATCATTCTTTCAATCTGAAGAGCGTGTCCTTTATCAAGTGACTGAAACTTGTATTATCTGGTGGGGCTATGGTTTTTTCCTTGTCATCTTTTAATTTTGCATCACGTGAGGACTTTTTAAAACTTAATCAGAGATGATAGAGATGGTAAGTGCTTCACAAGGTCTTGTTATTGCTATCTGTGCCAAAATCATATGAAGATGATGGAGACGAATATCTCATGCTTGGGAAGAAATGTACCAAATGTAAAACACGGTTCTCCTCTATCTGTAAGTGTAAAGGTTGCTAACAAATGGTGTGAGTCTACGATTTTACACAGTTTTCTTTAAGGGTGGGAGAGGATTGTCCAATACTGGTGATCTATTTAACACAGAAAAGCAGTTTATTATTTAAAAATAAATGAAATAATTGATATGGGCATAATGAGACAATGTTTTCAGTTCTTAAAATTTTTGCTTCCAATTTGCTGCCTCATTCAGGAGGCTCCCTTAAGTTCGTTTCTTAAACTAAGGTTGACTTCTCGGGCTCAAGTTTTATTTGGGTGAGAGCAACTTTTCTGTGGGTATGGATGTTTATGTATTCATATACAGGAATCATTTACCCTTGGGCTTTTCGATATGTAAAAATTGCAGTTGCACAAACCGTCTTTTCTGCTAAGAAAGTGTATCCAAAACTGGAACAATGAATAAATGGTCTGCTTCTGCCTTGAGGTTTGTGATTTCAATGTTTCATCACGCTGACATTTTTCTTCCTCCCAACAATTATAGCTTTTTGCCAGTGTGTACAACAAACAAACCCCTCATTTCCAGCCTAGAGCAATGATTTTGAAGACATGTTAGTTTTAAGGCCATATTGGCCCCAGGGACCTTTTCTGCTTACTCCTTTTCTCCCTTTCATTGGTGAGCTAATTTAAGATATTCTTCCATTTTTTTCTCAGGTGCTAAAAACAGAGGTCAGTTCAATTGTCCCTTCACTGAAGGTTATGCAGTGAAGCCTTTCTTAATTTGAATTTGACCAGCCATAGATGACAAGTGCCTTTTTTTTCTCTGAAGAATGTGGATTGCACATATTGCTCTGTAAACTACTTTTTTTTTCTTTAAATCCACGGGCTATTGCATCCCATTGAACTTGCGTGTACCGAGATGCCCATCTTGGTTTGACGCACATCTAGAAGTGGTTTAAGTGATGCCAATTGCCAAAACACACTTTCTCACTTTGTTTTTTAAGAGACTTTTAAAACTTGGCTGTTCTTCCCAACTTGCATAGTTCAGAATTTGTTTTCTGAGTGTTTCTGAGGGAAATAAGAGTAATCTTAGGAATCAACACTGTGTGGATATTGCAGATTTGTGCTTCTTTCTGTTAGTAATAGCCCTTTGATACCTCCTTGGTTTCCTGTCTGCCTTACTCCGTTATCAGCTACTAATGACCTCTGATAGCAAAGAATAGAGGAGGAAAGTGAATGGCTACCTTAATGACGTTGCTTCTCTCCCCATTTGCTGTGCAAGGAACCTGAATGACAGTTGTTGACTAACTTCAGAAAACTGGACTAAATCAATATCACACACACACTCTGGATATGTGTTTCAGTGGCCTGGAAACATCGTTGTGCGTGCAAGCACCAACCGTGCTGCCCCTGGAGAGCCCTTGACACTGGGCTGGGCTGTCTCTTGTTGCTCTCCTGTAACTGCCCCACTGCAAGGGGTACCAGACACACACCTGAGACTCTTGAAGTATACTTGAGTCAGAAATACATGTCATGTTCAGACTTTTAATCTTTTATAATTCAGCCACCCTACTGCTAATGCTGGCTATTCTCTGTTTAGTCTGATTCTGTTGATCTGCATGTATGCTTCCCTACAAATCCTATGCTAAACCAGAAGTTAATTTTCTTTCTGTGTCTGCTTAATCAGGGTTGTTACACAATTTTTCTTTATGCCTCTGAAGGTTGCCTTTTTTGTCTGTCATTTACACTGGACACGTTCTTCATCTTTTCCCAGTTTGATCTTTCTGCTATTGACTTTCCTCAAGTCCAGAGCAGGTTGCTTGAAAGTCAAATCCAAATATAGTCCTACTCGTTTTAAAAGGGCTAGCCATGCTGAAGCAAGATTGTACTGCTGTTTGAGATCACATTTACCATATATATCAAACACCGTAGCACTGTAGTGGTCTACAGCCTGGATGGAAAAATGCTTGAGTCACTGTTAGCACAGTCTTGGTGCGTAGGAGAGTATCAGTAGAGTTGTTTCTAGACTGCCTAGTACCCATGAATCACAAACAAGAGTGCTTGTTGTCACTTCCCTGAAATCAGCCTAAGTCCAGCCTCAAATATGTGCTTCTGTTGTTATTTAGCTAATTCTTCTGGGCCCATTTGTCCAACAAGCTTTGCATAAGTGAGGGTGAGTTCTCATAATTCCTGGTGCAAGTAAATGTTAACTGATAATCATAAGAGGTGGACAAGTAAGAAATGATACTCTGGAACCAAGGAAATAATATTTCTGATATGTTTTAGGTCGAGAATCTTGTGTGTAATTCGTACCAAAAAGCTGGACTTAACATGCTTAATGGTTATACTTATCTTACACCTGGAGGATGAAGCCCAAGAAGCTAAGCTGCTTCCAGTCAGATACTTGTCTGTATAAAAGTGCATGGTGCAAGTGGGAGTAAAAGCAAAAGGTCAGATGCAATTGACTCCGACCCTCAATTCCCTTCTCAGTCAGTGGAGCTGCGTCCATTCTGTTTTTCACTTAATAAATAACCACATTATGAATTGTATTTACTCCTAGTGCTGCAGCGCTTGGAGGCCTAACTCTTGCCTGTCCCCCCAGCAGGCTAGGCTCTCTAAAAACACAAAAAAATCGTACTTCTGGTACAGAGCACAAAGTCTGGTTGCACCACAGTGCAGGTGAAAGCAGGAGCTGTTGGCCGGGGTCATGTCAATATCCTTAATTTGCATGTTGATTTAACGAAGTCCTCCCTGTGCCTGCTGCGGCTTGTCCTCCTCTCCGATGACCGGGCTCAGTAGTGCTCCCTGGAGCGGGGATGAGAACTGGCTGAGGAGAACCACGAGGGCAGTTCCAGGTGAATGGGTCTCTTGTGGTTTTCTCAGAAGCATCATATGCGTCACTTGCCCAATTTCGTGGCCAGTCTACCAGCACATAAGTGAACCCATCCACGCGATGGTTGCTATAAAAAGGCAGGTGAAGGCTACATGGGGTGTGCAGGGCTGCCTCACTGACAAAAGGGGATGGAGCTCTCCCATCGCAAGATGGGCTCCATCCCATTTTGCACCCTTCTTTGCTGCTTTAGTAGCATAGCAGCAGCCAATATATTTGGTAAGTACATTTGTTCTTTTCCTCTGCCTGTGTCCAGTAGTGACTCTGCTCCCGTGATCTTTGTGCTGCTCTGTGTATTATTCCGGTATATAATGACCACGGATCTTACACACTGCAAACTTAGCTAGTTATTGTGTGCTGTGCAGACTGAATTTGGGCTCCAGGTTAAATACGAAGCTATAAGGATCTTTAAATGGTCAGGGTTATCTGAGTTCAGTACACCTGGATTTTGGGTGGAAGAAAAAAGGAGAGAGCAAGCTTGGGTAAGAAAAGGTGGTGCTGCAGTGATGTGAAGGTCCTAAGATTATATCTTCTACTTGTATGTGCCATCATCTAATTTAGGCTTGAACCTTAAGATACTGGATAGTCTGAGTGCCGTCCCCAGTTCTTTAGTCTGAGTTTGATAGTCCTGCACAACAAGCAATTTAAATCGGTCAATTAATCTCTTAACTCAGTTGTCAGTAGATCCTCTCTAGCACTGTACACAAGGATCTCCACACATCCCAGAGCAACTGGCTCAGTCATGTTTGAGATGAAAACGATGAGGTTTGCCTACATGTGGATGTCTATAGGTGAGCTAACCTAAAATCCCTTTACAGTCTCGTGAAAATTTTCACGTGGGCTTAAGGGGACACAGTGAAAACTCACAGAAACAGAAGTGATTGAAAGATCTTAGGTGCACAGAAACCATCCGTGGTTAAAGAAGTCCCTGAGCTGCAAATTATTGGAGGCTGAAAAGTATTCAGAATAGTTATGATGTATTTGCACTACTATGTGTGGTCACACTCAGACCAAATACTGGATTAGGTGAACCTTTGGTCTAAAATGCTGTAGCTGTGGGTTTTTTTCCTGTATTTTTATAGAACTAGTCAATGGAATTAAGAGCATGACATTCATCGAATTTTGAGGATGGGGAAAGTGTCAGATCAACTAATCTGTTCTGTAAAAAAGACCCTACTGAATTTCATCGTTCTCCTAAAATAGCATCCAAATGTGGCATTAAGAACTGAAGAGTTGACCGTTTTCTTGCTAGATGGCTTCAGTAGTTGATCACTTGCCCTGGTAAAAATTGAGAAGTGCTCCTAATATGAATTAGTCTGATGCTAACTGCTAGACATTGGTTCTTTTTAGGTCTTTCATGAGATTAAGAATTCTCTCTCCTTTTGGTGGAATAGTGAGGGACTTAGCTTCAATAAAGAATAAATACTTGGAAACATTAATAGTGATGTGTGTGGTTATGGCAAAGGGCTGTTTTGTGGTGATAGCCACAACTAACTCTGAGTACGTAGACTACCTCAGGTACCAGAAAATGATAGCTATACCAGTACAAAACAGAGCTGAAGCTGATTAAATACAGGCCTGGGAAAGCGGTTCATGAGCATCTCCGTCATGTGCTTATCCTGCAGCTGTCAGCCCAGCGAGTTTGTTCAGTACTTCCCTGTGCTGTCCCATGCAGAAATGCATGCAAGGAGCAATGGGGAAATGACCAGGGAGGACCCATGAACCTGGGGTTTTCACCGTGCAGCGCTGGCACTAACAGGGTTTTGGTAAGAACAGGCTTGTGGTGAAACCACCCTTAAGTGTTTATCTTCTTGCTGCTTTCAGAGTACCAGACAGATTCCCAACCGTTACGTCCATGCGAACTTCAGAGGGAAAAGGCTTTTTCAGGAGGAGAAACATACGTTCCTCAGTGCTCAGAAGATGGCCAGTTCAGGTAACTCATCCCTGCTATTATTCTGCTGTTATGCGACATGGCCTTTCATTACTAATGAAAGCTTTAGCTTCAGTTTTGAAGAGCCTTCATATCGGTGGACTGGAGGGTGAGAGGTGCAGGAGACTGAAGGGACTTCATGGAGCCACGTTGTAGATCCAGCCTCTCCTGAATGAATTCCGTGTTGCTGGAAATAGTCTCTGGGTTAAGAAGTCAATCTAATATTAATAGGCTAATCTTGGCAGCATTATTTGCATGTTAAATACTTCGTGCAGGTCGTTGTGTAATACAACTGCTGTCTTCCTACGCATGCTCATGGGCGCATGGTCTGTGATCAGTGTGCCAGCTGGCACAGCTGAGCCAAGTTGACTTGGAGAAGTTACCCACCCTGCTGTAAGTGGCACAGTCGGGTTTCCTTCTAAAGGCCGTAAAGAACTAAAGCACATGGAGAACAGTGGTTTAGAAAGCAGCATGTTGCTTGAAGATGTAAGAAGTTATTGAGTTAAAGCTGAGGCTGAGGGGGAGTGCAAATTGTAACATTCTCTACTATTATCTTGCTGTTGTTGCCTAGCGGGGGGGACCTAGACCATGCTAGATTTGACTTAAAAATTGTCTGAAAATGTATGGTAATTCTCGAATACTGAGGATCAGGATTCTGTCCAACCTGCTTGCTTCCTGAATGACTTCAAGTCACTTATCTGCAATTCCTGAAGACTTCAGAGAATTACTAGGATTAAGAGCTCCCATCAGGTAGACTTAGGGTCACCAGAAACACAGCCCTTTCTGATTCCGTTATTTGTTGTGTTAAAGTACTTGTTTGGCCTGCTTTATGCCTTGCTTTATGTCCCATACTAACAGAGGACTCTGTCACTAACAAAGTAAAATATGTTACTTGTGATCTCCTTCAGGACAGTTCAGTGCAGTAGGAATGGTCTTTCTTGTTGGTGTGTGGACGAGAATGGCATTGAGGTACCTGGCAGCAAACAGAATGGATATCCCATATCTTGTAAGTCACAAGTTTCTATTTTTGTTCAGATTGCGTAAAGAGCCATTTAAATTTGCATTTGAACTGCTGAAATCTGGGGCTAGGTTAGCCCCAGACTTGTACGGACTCCAGTTTGTTGTAATTTGCTGGGTCTTTCTAGTGGAAGATCTGGAGTTTCTTCGGAGCTCATCATGGAAACCTGATACACCTGGATGATCTGTATTCATGAAGGTCACAGTAATGTAAATCATGAATGAAAGATCAACTTAATGTATTGGCTTTTGAGTTGGAGGGCTTCAACCCCATCTGTGGTGGGTTTCTGTGTACCAATTTTCATGACCTCAAGTCTGTCAATGTCCTCATGCCATCTGGGTGGCAGAATCAGAACTTGCAGCTCTGAGAAAACTCAGATGTTGCCTTAATAAATGATTCAGTGCCCAACAAGTGCCTTCCTCTAACAGTGCCCGTCTCTGGTACTACAGGCTTATCCTTTTGCCAGCTGCAAAAGCAGAGGATCTTGGTCAGTCGCTACATCAACAGCAGCAGCATCTCCTACATCCCTCAGTGCCTGGATTCAGGGGCATTTGATGCGGTGCAGTGTGACACGGAGCTGGGTCAGTGCTGGTGTGTAGATCCAGAAGGAATGGAGGTTTATGGCACCAGGCAGAGGGGAAAGCCAACGCGGTGTAAGTAATATTCAACAAAACACTGCGTTTTGTAGAGTGGGAAGGTTTGGTGTGAATGAAGGGTGGTAGATCAGGAGCTTGGACACTGCAGCCTACACTTACCCTACAGAAGTATAGGTGCTTAACTGAGGAGTTTAAGTCTCTGTTTCCTTTGGTTATAAAGAGAATATGAGGCACCTAGGTGTCCATATTCAGTGTAATGAATCTGAACCCCTTCCAAACCATGGGATGGCTACTCAGCTCTTTGTGGGAAGTTAAAACACCAGTAAACATTACTTTTTCTCCCGTCAGGTCCGGGAAACTGTGAGATCCGAGACCGTCGCATTCTTCATGGGTTTGGGGAGAAGAGCCCACCGCAGTGCTCAGCAGATGGAGAGTTTCTGCCTGTCCAGTGCAAGTTTGTCAACACTACAGACATGATGTTTTTTGATCTCGTTCATAGTTATAACAGGTAAGAGTGCAGGCTTCTGAAACAGGGAGGCAATCCTGCATACCTCTGCAAGTCAAAGTCTTACTGCATTTTTTTTTCCACATGAAGCCCTTCTTTTGTGACCCCATATGATGTTATTTTCTGTTAGTGAATGGACCAAGTAAAAAAAAATTTCTTCTGAATTAAATTTTCTCATTTAGAAAAGCCTGATATTTGATCCCTGCAGTCTAATCAGTCTGTCCTCACACAGCAGTGGATATCACACTGCGATCTGTATTTGGAAAAGTAGCCAGGGCTACCTTTCAGACAGACACAAAACAGCAAATGAAATAAATGTGGAATGAAGAGAGGAATTCAACCGTATATATGAAGTAGGAAAGATGATTCCATATGGGAGATGAAAACGGACGGACAGATGGACAAGTGGCAACATGCAAAGAGCAAGTTCCGTGTGATGGTGGGAAACTCTTGTCCATTTAGGCAGTGCCAGGGTTGCTCACACAGGTGAACCAGCAAGTGATGAACGAGCGTGCTGCCATACGACTGGCTTTGGGTGGGTGGAGTGGGCTTGGGAAGACTTCAAAATGCTGGATCAAATGCTTGTTGGTGGGAGCAAGAAGCCGTTGTCCTGTGGAGGAGCTGGGAATTAATGCTCAGGTGGAGAAATAAGGGATGGACAAGGGGAACTGCAGGGGCAGAGTTTGTTTCGGTGCAGATGTTCAGACACTCCAGAGGAACGTTTTGGTCTCTTGCGAAGTGCCGTTATCTTGGCAACTCAGCCAACACATTTCTCCGGTGGAGGGCAGTGGAGTAAATGTAATGTCTCATACTGACTTGGCTCTGTAGTAGCAAAGGCATTTTACTGTAAATGTCAATTTTGCTGTTTTAAGGGTTTTCTTTTTAAATTTAAGCAAAACTGAAAGGTAGGCCCAAATGCACAGTGCAAATTTGTCAGAGCTTCGGGAGTGGTTATTTTGGCAAGAGCTAAATAATCTGGTTGTTTTGTTTGTTGGCCTGTGGAATGCGGAAATTCTAAAAGAGCAATTACAGAGGAGAAAGCAATGCTTTAAATTAAAATTTCTTTTCTCCCATTGGGAGATTTGTCTGCAAAGGCCTGTGAGATTGGGCTTTTCTTGTGTCTGTGTCATATAATTAATCACAGCAGGATCATTTTACTCCCAGCTGTCTACCTTTCTAATTATGGCATTGACTTAACCCATTACCATCGTATCTGAGTATTTCAGGTCATTAAAATATTTATTTTCACAGTATTCCTGCCTGAAATGTCATTATACTGTCCCATAAACAGGAGGCCAGAATACGGAGTTAAAGGGACGAGTTCCACAGCAAAAGACTACAGCAGAACAGGGATTTAAACCCATGTTTTATGTTCATGTGGAGCCAATGGAGCAATTTTCTTTGGTTCCACAGACTGATTTTTGAAATCTGGACATGTCAAACTAACTCCCTTTCCAAATTGTTTCCTTACACCTTTATAAATATTCCAGAAAAGATCAGTATGTTAAAAAAAATAAATGGAGAAATTCAGAAGCTTAGAGCTAAGACTTTCCCAAAAGGAAGACTTATGGAAAGAAAGATTAGCCCAAATTTCCTGCCTCACCCTGGCTACTTGGCTGCTGTTATTTATTTTATACAGACTGTGCCCGGGTCCTGCTTAGATGGGCAGCCATAGAGAAGGCCCTGTAGCAGATCGGAGAGAAAGATCAAAAAATCAAAAGTTGAGGAAGATCTTTTTACTTTTTTGCTATAATTTGCATCAGACTGAAGACTTCGTGTCAGTGTGTTTATCCCAGCTCACTGGAGGTTCTGCCCGATTAGGTATTATTTCAGTGGCAGTGGAAAAAAAAATGATTTGGTTTTCTTCCTCTGTTTCTGAGTAGTCAATGAGAAAGGCAGCTATAACGTGAGCTGCACATAGAAACATAGAAGGGTTTACTTGCAAACCTGCTTTTGAAGATCAGTAAGGAGCTATCTTTGCTGGAAGCCAAGAGCTGAGACTCACAGTTAGAAGAAAAGGTCAACAACCTCACATTTATTTACTTTCCCATATTTTTGAGTGCAAGCATTCTTGTTGAAGCACATGGATACACTATCAATTTATCCATAACTTAAGTGTAGTCATCTTTCCTTCAGCCATTGTTTTGGACTGGGTCTGATAGATGGGGTACTCTGTATTATCACTTCTCATCTCGGGGGCTGTGATTAAAAAAAGGCTGAGAAAAGAAAAGAAGCGGTAGGAAGCGAGTTTTCCAAGTAAGGTGAGAAAAGTTCTGTCCTCCTGTTTGTGTGGGCCTAATTTATATCCGTTTGTACTTTATTTAGCTGTACTCTCAACTTGGAACAAAAATAACCAGAATGACAGGATATGACTACACATCTGCCCCATGTAAAAGTAGTATAATTATGCACGTGACTTCTTAACGTTGAGGATGAAAGAAAGCAGCATGCAGACTTTTTTCGTTGCATCCTGTTTCACTCAGCTAGATGTTGAGGTGCTGAGGTGATGAGCTTCAAGGACATGAGCGGTGCAGAGGTCTGCCTTTGAATATAGGGGCATTGCTCTCCTAAGAAGAGAAAAGATCAGTTTCCTGATTGGGTGGTGGCCAGTGCACGATAATTCGGGGGAGCAGAAAGCTCTTGAAATGCCCCAAGCCATTTATATCCACGTGTATGTTGAAGACCACAGAAAGATGGTATTTAGCTGTTTATATCTTAAATTGCATTGTTTTAATGCTGACAGAAGTCCCTTTGTGCCCTGAAGTATGACATTTTGATTGCTTTTAGCATGCCAGTGTCAGCAGTGGAGCAGGATTTGATGATCCAAAGTGGAGGGAGTCAGCAGGCCTTTAATTTGAAGACGTGGGAGAGTGCCAGAGCGAAGCAGTGCTATGCAGGGATGTGCAAGCTCTGAGACAGGAACACTGCTGGATAAAGCTGGGACAACCCCGAGGTTACCAGCCCCTTCCTCTGCCAGGGGTTGCTGTTGCGTCGTGCATTCCCCAGCTTGCACTTTGATGTACTGAGGAAGCAGTAACGTCTTCAGCTCTCCTGGCAAGAGGTGGCAGAGCTCTCAAGCAGACTTTTGAAGGTAGCAAAGGGCCATTACTCCACTCCTCCCACCTGACCGCTGGCTCTGAGCCAGACAAGCATTTCGCTGCCTTTCTCAGGGGCACTGCAAACTGCACGTGCTATAGAGCAGCCCTGAGGCTGCAGGAGGGTGGCACTGGAATTGAGGCTGGTTATAGTCCCAATTTCACAGAGTTGCTGTAAAGTGCTTTGGCACGTTAAGCTTTTTCCCAGTTGATCAGTTCCTAATCTAGAGATGCCGGGGGAGGGGAACCTCAATCCATCCCACTCCTACCAGTTTGACGCCAGGGCCAGCAATAGATGCCCAGAGCCTGGAGAAGGAGCACAGGTCAGCAGGAGATCGCCTGAAGAGCAGCACAGAGGAACTCCAGCCAGTAAGACAGCTTCATCGGGGGCCCAACTTAAATGCCTCTATGCAAACACAGGTAGCATGGGGAATAAACAAGAGGAGTTAGAGACGTGCGCACGCCTGCAGAGCTACGACCTTATTGGCATCA